TTTGAGATGGAGTCTTGCTCTATGGCCCAGGCTGGAGTGCAGTGGCGGGATCTCGGCTCACTGCAAGCTCCGCCTTCCGGGTTCACGCCATTCTGCTGCCTCCGCCTCCCGAGTAGCTGGGACTACAGGCTTTTGCCGCCACGCCTGGCTAATTTTTTGTATTTTTAATAGAGATGGGGTTTCACCATATTAGCCAGGATGGTCTCGATCTCCTGACCTCGTGATCCGCCCGCCTTAGCCTCCCAAAGTGCTGGGATTACAGGCGTGAGCCACCGCACCCGGCCACTTCCCACTTACTTTTTAAGGGGGAAAAGGCAATGGTTGTTTTGAAAAAAATTAACCTATCTAAATAAAATATCAGCAGTTGAAACTAACAATGTATATTACAACAGTATTATGACCAAGTTGCCGCTACCCCAAGAATTCAAGAATGGTTTACCACTAGAAAGTTTATTGATGTAACTGATCTCATTAACAGATTTAAAGAATACCCATATGATCATCTTAATAGATGCAGGAAAATCATGCAATAAAATACCTATTTATGATAACTGCTAATATTTTATTTGTGCTTTTCCTTAAAAATGCAGCGTTTTTAGGAATTAAAGTTCAGAGCAGCAAAAGTCAAACAAAAACCAAGTCTGAGCAATAGAGCTACTACAATGCCCATCACAGTCTTTGCTCAGAAGACTACCTAAGGTCATGTTCAGCTCTATGTTTCTGTGACCACAAATAGCATCTTTGGCAAATCTGGTTTCAGTTGGTCTTTGTCCAGCTCCTGGATTCCATGCAGGGCCTGAGAAACCCTCAAGGATAAAAGATTAATCCGGTCCAGTGGACTCCGTGGTTCCTCAACTCCAAGTGCCCCCACCATAGGTGGGACCTGCCTCTCACGCATAGGATCCCTGGCGGCAACCCGAGACCGGTTCAGACCGGTTCTCCTACCCGCATTCCGCCGAGTCTCTCGCTCTGCCCAGGACGCACAGATGAGAGCGCTCAGCAGACTGGTGGGTCTGTCTTTCGGTCCTTCCTAATTTTCCCCTCCTCTGGGGAAAGGTCAAGGATACCTGAACCCAAGTGTCTGGCGGGGTGTAGGTGGGGTGGTGCATCTGTGCACAATCAAGGGCTTGGCCCTCCCGAGAGCGCCCAGGGGCAGGGGCCTCCTAGGTTCTGGCGGCCGGCAGGGGCGACCGGAGCAGGGGGTCGCGCTGGATTGCGGCTGAGGTCCTACCAGCGAGAGACAGAGACCCTCAGACATTTAGTCCAGAGACTGCAGCAAGGGAGGGGGACGAGGGGCCAGGGCCGGAATTTCGGGGGAGGACTTGGGAGCGCAGCGACCAGAGTCGTTTGCTGGCACCTGCGGGGGCGAATGCAGGGGCTTGGCCGAGATGACCTTGGACCAGAGCTCCCTTCCGGCCTGCAGAGATGAGCTTGGGGTTTAGCTTAGTGAGGAGTGAACAGCTTTTCAGCCGCAGTGCTGCGGAGGAGGCGGATGGAGGATGAACTGGAGCCGTCCTTACGGCCTCCGACGCAGGTGAGCCCCCAGCAGCGGCGACCCCCCACCGCACGGTGGCGACAAACCCCGCGCCACCGCGGCGGCGACCCCCTCCCCCACCGCGGCGGCGACCCCCTCCCCCACCGCGGCGGCGAGCTCCCCAGCACCGGCAGCAACTCTTAACACGCTGCGGGTCCGCGCTTGCGCCTCAGGCGCCCTCCGCGACAGTCTAACGGCTCTGCGCTCCACTGCGCCTGCGCTTGAGTCTCAGGCCCCATTCCCGGCCACTGGTTAGCGTTGTGCGAACCTTCAGCTTGTGCAGCCGCTCTCAATACCCACTGCGCTTGCGCTACCGCTTCGTCTCGACTGGTTTGCGCCTCTCAAACGCTTACTGCGCGTGCGCTAGCCCCTTTTTCACAGCTGGGTAACGCGCGCTGACCTTCCCTCCGCGCGCATGCGCCCGGTTAACCGCTTGGTAATGGCAGCTGGGGTCTCCCTGGTACAGCAAGACTTCCGCTCAGGCCCCTCTTCCGAATGCTCCATGCCCTCCTGCGATCTGGAATGGTCTGAATTCTCATACCTGCCCAGACCAGGCATTTCAGATGAGGGATTGCGGACCTGAGTGAACTGCGCATGTATAGCCACCTTGGAGCCTTCACTAAGTCGTCAAATGTTCAAAAACATCGTGCTTGTATGTACAGTGGCGTTAGGTGCTAGGCTCAGATATCCATAGGCAGGTGTTTACGTCCAGGTTCGGCCTGTGGGCCAGAGCAAGGTTGCTGGACCCTGGCATCCCAGCCCCCAGAGATGCTAAATCCTCTGCCGATCAGCCCTGACCTCAGAGGCAGTAAGCCCTCCGAGCACGGCAGTCCTGACCGCTCACTCCTTCCCGTGACTGTTTCCCACCTTCGCCTCTTTCCTCCTCATGATGCCCTCAGCTCTGACCTGGCGTCCTGCCTCACAGAGGGAAAGGGCGCAGCCAGAGGAGAGCGCCTGCACTGCCCACCGCTTCTATGGGTTCCTCCCCATCTGGGCTGATTTCTTTATGTATTTGCATGGCACATTCCCTCACCTCCTTTGTCTTCATTTGCACTTGTATTCCTTGACAGCCCTATTTAAAATAGCACCAGCTGAGGTGGGAGGATCGCTGGAGCCCAGGAGTTTGAAGCTGCAGAGATCTAATAGGATCTCACCACTGCACTCCAGCGTGGGCGACCTAGGGAGACCTTGTCTGTAAAAAATAAAAATAAAATAGCACCACCTGGTCCTAACACTTCCTACACCCCTTCCCTGCTTTAAGTCTCTGTAGCACCAGCTGATGTACTACATATTTTGCTCATTCATTTTGCGATTGCTTGTCTTTCCCTGCTCTGATAGCTCATTGATTTTGTCTGTTGTTCACTGCTGTATCCCAACACCCAGAACAGTAGGATTATTGACCATAATAGGGAGGCAATAAATCTTTGTTTGCCTAATTAATGGTCCGTATCATAGCTAATGTCTGAATGCTTACCATGACCAGGCACGGTATAGGCAATCTCCATGCATGATCTCATTGAATTAAACAATTTCCTGTAGTCTTGGAGACCTGTCAACATCTGCTACATGAGTTCAGCTGCTATCAAGCACTGTGTTCGCTGCTTCCTTCAGATCTGCTGTCTTAAGGGAGCTCTCACTTCCATGAAGCCCCTGTGGAGCTGTAATGTGGCCCCATTGGGACCAGACTCCAGGTTTCTCACCTGGCTTCTTCCTCAGGCTTCCAGCCTAAGAGAAAGTTACTTAGGCCTTATAGGAACTATGGGCAGCTAGGGCCCCTGTCACCAACCTGTCTCCAGACCTATGGCAAAGCCTTCAGCAGGATTCTGCCCTCCAGAGTCACTTCCTCTGCTCCCCCACCTTCCAGTGCAGTATCTCACTGAATGGTGAAAGCACAACTGGCTCTTTCCCAGCTATATCTTGCCCCCCCAGCACACTTCCTGGCTGAGATAAACACTCAGTTTTTTGTGTGTGTTTTTTTTTTTGAGATACAGTCTCACTCTATTGCCCAGGCAGGAGTGCAGTGGCGCAATCTGGGCTCACTGCAACCTCCGCCTCCCAGATTCAAGCAATTCTCCTGCCTCAGCCTTCCGAGTAGCTGGGATTACAGGTGCCTGCCACCACGCCTGGCTAATTTTTGTATTTTTAGTAGAGACGGGGTTTTACCATGTTGGCCAGGCTGGTCTTGAACTCCTGACCTCAAGTGATCTGCCCACCTCGGCCTCCCAAACTGCTGGGATTACAGGCGTGGGCCATCGCATCTGGCCAACACCCAGTATTTGATTAATGAATGAATAAATAGTCCATAGGTTCTCGAAACTTCAGAAAACCTTAGCCAAACATCCTTCTGTCGTGAAAATTGTATCAAAGTTTTCAAAAATAATACCTTTAATTTTACAGAACAATTTGCCAGAACAAGAAAGGCAGTAATTTTTGGGGGAAGATATCAACGATTCAATTTTTGTAAAGTCAACTACTTTGCAAATATCTAAAAAAATACGTGAGGGAAGTTCATTGTTGTGCCTTTGGAGGAGTGGAGAACTTTCAGTATATACTGAATTTTCAAAAATCTTAACAAACGTGTCATTTTGTAATTAAAAATCCCAAAAGAGTAGACCAGGTATGGTGGCTCACGCCTGTAATCCTAACACTTTGGGAGGCCAAGGCGAGTGGATCACTTGAGCTCAGGAGTTTGAAACCAGCCTGGGCAACAAGGTGAAACCCCGTCTCTACAAAAAAATACAAAAAAATTAGCCCAGCGTGATAGTGTATGCCTGTAGTCCCAGCTGCTTGGGGGGCTGAGGTGGACGGATCGCTTGAGCCCAGGAGGTTGAGGCTGCAGTGAGCCAAGATCGCGACACTGCACTCCAACCTGGGTGGCAAAATGAGACCCTGTCTCAAAAAAACAAAACAAAAAATCACAAAAAGAGAAAGATAAACAATTTTGTGAATCCCTCAGAAGACCTCAACTACAGGTCAGGTGCAGTGCCTCATGTCTGTAATCTCAGCACTTTGGAGGCCGAGGTGGGCAGATCACTTGAGGTCAGGAGTCTCTACTAAAAATACAAAAATTAGCTGGGCATGATGGTGCATGCCTGCAATCCCAGCTACTCGGGAGGCTGAGGCGGGAGAATCACTTGAACTGGGAGGCCGAGATTGCAGTGAGCCGAGATTGCGCCATTGCACTCCAGCCTGGGTGGCAGAGCAAGACTCCGTCTCTCTTTTTTTCTTTTTTTTTTTTGAGACGGAGTCTCACTCTGCGCCCATGCTGGAGTGCAGTGGTGTGATCTTGGCTTGCTGCAACCTCCACCTCCCTGGTTCAAGCAGTTCTCTGCCTCAGCCTCCTGAGTAGATGGGATTACAGGTATCTGCCAACAAGCCCGGCTAATTTTTTTTATTTTTTTATTTTTATTTATTTTTTTGAGACGGAGTCTTGCTATGTCGCCCAGGCTGGAGTGCAGTGGCACAATCTCGGCTCACTGTTTGCCTCCCAGGTTCACGCCATTCTCCTGTCTCAGTCTCCCAAGTAGCTGGGACTATAGGTACCCGCCACCAGGCCCGGCTAATTTTTTGTATTTTTAGTAGAGACGGGGTTTCACCGTGTTAGCCAGGGTGGTCTCGATCTCCTGACCTGGTGATCCCCCCACCTCGGCCTCCCAAATTGCGGGGATTACAGGCGTGAGCCACCGCGCCTGGCCAATTTCTGTAGTTTTAGTAGAGATGGGGTTTCACTATCTTGGCCAAGCTGGTCTTAAACTTCTGACCTCGTGATCCACCCGCCTCGGCCTCCCAAAGTGCTGGAATTAGAGGTGTGAGCCACTGCGCCTGGCCAAGACTCCTCAAAAAAAAAAAAAAAAAAAAAAAAAAGAGAAAATCCCAACTACAAATGATGAGGCATTGGGGATGCCTTTGGGAATTCTCCCTCCATCTCTAAGAGTGTTTCACTGTCCTTTTGTGTACCAAGTGTGCATGACTCATGTGTGCCCAGCCTAGAAGTAGGCTTCATTATCTCCAGGTCCAGGTAAGGAAGTGACTTAGGATGAGGAAGTAAGGGGAGAGCTGGGATAGGGACCAGGCACCTTGGCCATCTATGCTGCCTCTCTGTTTCTCCTATGTCCCCAAGTCCTTGCACCTGCAGGTCCATGTGGCCTCTTTTCTTAGCCTAGTTGCAGAACATGCTGGTGGGAGGTAAGAGAAGGAGGCTCAGCCCAGATTCCTGGAGCCTGGCCACTCTGTTGGAGGACGTTTTCCTGGGGCAAGTCAGGGGCTCCTGTCCTGCTGGAGTCAGAGCTTTACTCTGCTGGGGCCCCAACTCAGGCGACTGTCTTTCCCAAACAAACACAGCAGACGTGCTCAGGGCAGCCCAACAAGAAGGGATGGGAACTGCTCTCCAGCTCAGGGAAACTTTGGGGCTATGGGTGGCGTGAGGGTAAAGTGGGGTCCTGGACTCAGAGCAGGAGGCCTGGATTCCTCTGCTACCTGCCAGCCATGTGACCCAGGTAACTCCTCTCTGAGCCTCACTTTCCTCATCTGCAAAGTGGAGACATCACTGCTTGATTCAAATAAATTGCAGTGCTGTGATTGGCAGCTCTGGTCCAGGGAGAGGGGTGGTGGCTGTTGTTGGTCACTCTGTGTTCTCCCCTCTCTCCTCAGATTCAGGGCAGGATCCTGCTCCTGACCATCTGTGCTGCTGGCATTGGTGGGACTTTTCAGTTTGGCTATAACCTGTCTATCATCAATGCCCCGACCTCGGTACGTATCCTCTCTGTGTCGACTGCCCCTTTCTGAGTGGGTACTGGCTAACAGCTGCCCACTGAGGGGCTTCAGCCAGGCATCCACTTGGTGGCACTTTCTGCCACAAGTTTGTCTCCATTGGGTTGGCCCACAGGTTCCTGCAGGTTCAAACTGAGCATACATCTTCCCCCAAACCTGCATGTCCTCCTGAGTCCCTAATCTCAGCGGATGACTCCATCTTCCACCTAGTGATGGGGGAGTCAGCGTTGACTTCTTTTCGTCTCTTGGACACCAAGTCCTTCCTAACTATCTCTAGAATCCAGCCACTTCTCCCCATGTCTCCACCACATTCCCAGTTCTGGCCCAGCCTCCTCACTGGCCTCCTTGCCTTCAGCCTCTCCCCATCTTGATCTCTTCAAGTCACTCTCCTGCTCAGAATTGTTTTTTTTTTTTTTGAGATGGAGTTTTGCTCTTGTTGCCCAGATTGGTTTGCAGTGGCGTGATCTCAGCTCACTGCAACCTCTGCCTCTCGGGTTCAAACGATTCTCCTGCCTCAGCCTCCTGAGTAGCTGGGATTACAGGCATGTGCCACCACGTCCAGCTAATTTTGTAGTTTTAGTAGACATGGGATTTCTCCATGTTAGTCAGGCTGGTCTCGAACTCCCAACCTCAGGTAATCCACCTGCCTCAGCCTCCCAAAGTACTGGGATAACAGGCATGAGCCACTGCTCCTGGTCTCATGAAGGTTATTTATAAAGTAGCCAGTGGAGGTTAAGTTTCCGTGTTCAGCGGCGAGGCCTCGAGCTACCAGGGCCTCAGCTTCATGGAAAAAGGAAGAAGAAATTTTAAAAAACCAACTGACCAAAAGCAAGCAGGGCAGGCAGATCTGAACAAATGAACCCCGCGGTTTCACTGTCTCACACCTTCGCTCCCCCAACCCTGATACCAAAGCAAGTTAAGTATAGTTCCTCAAATGCCTATGACACAGCCCTTCCTCTAAGCCTCCTTCCATGGAGGGGCCCTCTCTGTTCCACCTGTAGAAGCCCACCCCAGATACCACCACCTTCTTGAAACCTTCTTCCCTCTCCAGCCCTTGGTGCAGGCTGTCCTCACTCAGGCTGTGTGAGGGCTGTTTTGTGTCCATCTCCTTTCTCCTGCTGATTCGCTCTCAGCATCTGAGTCATCTTTGAATCTCCAGCACTTGGTCATAGCCTGGCCCGAGCCGATGTTCTGTGAGTGTCTGTGGAAAGGATGGGTCTTTCAGCCCCAGTGATAGAAGCCTACCTCTAACTTGCTTAAGTAAGAAGGGCAAGTACCTAGTCACATAACTGGGAATGATGGGATATGGGGCTTCACACAGCACTGGGGGAGAGCTGCAGGAACCAGGTCCCAGGACAGAACTGTGGCTGCTGTCCTGCCCCTGATTTTCCTCTCTCGGTTTTTTTTTTTTTTTTTAGACAGAGTCTTGCTCTGTCACCCAGGCTGGAGTACGATCACGCAATCTCGGCTCACTGCAACCTCCGCTCCACCCCAAGCTCAGGTGCTCAAGCGATCCTCACACCTCAGCCTCCTAAGTAATTGGGACCACAGGTGTGTACCACAAAGCCCAGCTATTTTATTTGTATTTTTTAGTAGAGACAGGGTCTCATCATGTTGCCCAGGCTGGTCTCGAACTCCTGAGCTCAAGTGGTCCGCCCACCTCGGCCTCTTGAAGTTCTAGGATTACAGGCATGAGCCACCGTGCCTGCCTTGGCCTTGTTTTCATACCTAGTTGGGGAGCTGCTGTCACCAGATTCACTTCCTGCCAGCTGAGAACTCCCCCCACCAACAAAAGTCTTCCAGATTAGCTCATGTAGAAAGGCAGGGAAGAGCCTGAGGGGCTGGTTTGGTTTACGTGTCCACTCCCAGACCAGTAATGTGGTCAGGAGGCTGGGATGCTCGGATTGGCCAGATCTGGGCCAGGTGATCACCTTTATGGGGGAACCAAGAGCTATACTTGACTATGGAGAGAACTTCCTCCAAAGTAATATTTGTTAGCAGAAGATAGAGATGGGGATAGAAAGAATGATAGCAGCCCAGCCTCTTAAAGCAAGGATGAGAATTTAGAAAGGGGGGTCTGAGCTGGCTGCATTGGTTTGTTTGTTTGTTTGTTTGTTTGTTTATTTATTGAGATGGAGTTTTGCTCTTGTTGACCAAGCTGGAGTGCAATGGCGTGATCTTGGCTCCCTCTGTCACCCAGGCTGGAGCACGGTGGCGAGATCTGAGGTCACTGCAACCTCTGCCTCCCAGGATCAAGTGATTCTCCTGTCTCAGCCTCCTGAGTAGCTGGGATTACAGGCGCCTGTCACCATGCCTGGCTAATTTTTTTGTATTTGTAGTAGAAATGGACTTTCCTCATGTTAGCCAGGCTGGTCTCAAACTCCTGACCTCAGGTAATCTGCCTGCCTTGGACTCCCAAAGTGCTGGGATTACAGGCGTAAGGCATTGGTTTATTTATTCATTCATTCATCAAGCATTTGAGCACCCACTTCAGTGCACACTCAGACTAGAGAGGGGTCCATCCCGGGCTGGGCAGGTCACTCAGACCTTACCTCCCACGGCCATCACCAGCCCCCACAAAGGAGACTTTCCTAGGCTCAGAGGCTTCCCCTACCCTGCTGAATAGTGTTAAGTTCTAACTGTTAAAGAAAAAGTTATTCAGGCTGGACATGGTGGCTCATGCCTATAATCCCAGTGCTTTGAGAGGCTGAGGCAGGTGGATCATTTGAGGTCAGGAGTTCGAGACCAGCCTGGCCAACATGATTAAACCCTGTCTCTACTAAAAGTAGAAATATTAGCTGGGCATGGTGGTGCGTGTCTGTGACCTCAGCTCCTCCAGAGACTGAGGCAGGAGAATCGCTTGAACCCAGGAAGCGGAGGTTGCAGTGACCTGAGATCTCGCCATCGTGCTCCAGCCTGGGTGACAGAGGAAGACTCCCTCTCAAAAAAAAAAAAAAAAAAAAGGCTGGGCACAGTGGCTCACGCCTGTAAACCCAACACTTTGGGAGGCCAAGGCAGGTCGATCACCTGAAGTTGGGAGTTCCAGACCAGCCTGACCAACATGGAAAAACTGCATCTCTACTAAAAATACAAAATTAGCCAGGCATGGTGGCACGTGCCTGTAATCCCAGCTACTTGGGAGGCTGAGGCAGGAGAATTGTTCGAACCCGGGAAGCGGAGGTTGCGGTGAGCCGAGATCGCGCCATTGCACTCCAGCCTGGGCAACAAGAACAAAACTCCATCACAAAAACAAAAACAAAAACTATTCAATGACACTTGTCAAAGCACAGTAATGAAGAGTTTATTCAAGAGGTGGCAAGCACTAGTTGGAGGGACCATGGCAATGGGGTCCTACCCTGAGGCAGAAAGATTGGATTCAACTTCAAATACAGCATGGGCAAGCGAGAACTGATAGCCGAGGAGTAGAGCGGGGTCAGTGGGTGCACAATGACTGAGAGGATCATCAGGCGTTTGTGGGGGATTCTGGTTAAATTGACCCAACAGGATTCTTGTTGAGGGCAGGCCAGGGTAACCAGATATCATGGAGGATGGCAGAGGATAAGGAGGCCAATTAGATTTTGAAAGTGATCAGATGTGGAGGATGAGGATTCTAGCTAAATCAACTTAGCAGGACACTTGCTAAAACTGAACAACGCAGAGATGAACACAGAAGTCCAAAAGTTGAGACCTAGTTGAAAAAGAGCTCAGAATACCAGGCGCAGTGGCTCACCCTTCTAATCTGAACACTTTGAGAGGCTGAGGTGGGAGGATTGCTTGAGCCCCGGAGTTTGAGATCAGCCTAAGCAACACGCAAGATCCAGTATCTACAAAGAAGTAAAAAAATATTCAACAGGGCGCAGTGGCATGAGCCTGTATTTGCAGGTACTTGTGAGGCTGAGGTGAGAGGATGGCTTGAGCTCCAGCCTGGACAACAGAGGGAGACCCTATCTTTATTTATTTTTATTTTTTTTTGAGACGGAGTCTCGCTCTGTCGCCCAGGCTGGAGTGCAGTGGCCAGATCTCAGCTCACTGCAAGCTCCGCCTCCCGGGTTT